ACAAGTTGTCTGAGCAGATGAAATGAGGAGGCAAAGGATGGTTCAATGTAGGCAGATCTTAGCCTGTGGCTCAGGCGCTGGCTGGAAGCCTTGGTGGAAAAGCCCAGGTACGCCATCCTGAGCTTGGCGTTGCAAAGGTCGGCAGGCCCTGTGGGGTGGGAACCCCTTCCCTCTAGGGCTGGCCTGAAAGAGAGGAGGCAGCAAGAGACAACGTCGGTAGCATCGTCCTCTCTCTCTCTCCCTCTGTGAACTTTTACCGAGCCTTCTCCTCCCACCCAGGGGACTGTAGCCACAAAGTATGAAATCAGAGTGGATGATGTGGAGGCTCTGACTGCCGTCTGTAAAGGCAGCCTCCCTTTACTTCTACCAGAGCAAAGCTAGAGGAGGGAGAAACCCCGGCGAGGAGGGGCTTCGGTCAACCCTGTCCTTCATCATCCAGACGGGGCTGCATCTTTATTAAGATTAATTGTAAAGTCACAAAGATATACAAGCTTCTGAGTCCACCAGGCTGGAGGGCAAAGAAAAAAGGGGTGTGTGTGGAGAAAAAGAAGTCAAGTCCCAATAAACTGGCCCTTTGATTTAAGCCGTGGAAATCTTTAATGAAATTCAGCCCTGAGATGAACCACAAGGCTTTCTGGATGTCCTCCCCTCCCGCCACATTTTTCACTATCCTTTTATGAATGTTAGCCTCTGGGCCAGTAGAAGAGGCAAGGTGTTTCAGCAAATCCTCCCCACATATGTTGTGCAAGAGAATTAAGAGGAAGGGGTCGTGAAGACCAGCCAAGGCCCAGGAGTGGGCGGGGGTGGATGCGGAAACTTCCAATGGTGCAAAATGCGGCAGCCAGGCTTCTTACTGGGGTGAGAAAATATCAGCATATCTTCCCCCACCCTGGCTGCTTTGCATTGGTTGCCCATCCATTTCTGCATTGATTTCAAAGTGCTAATGATGACGTACAAAGCCCTAAACGGTTTGGGACCTCGATACTTGGCAGATCGTCTTCTCCCGCCCAGGTCTACCCGAATCACTCAACAAAGCCAGCAGGGACGGCTGAGGGGCCTAACGCCGAGAGAGGCCCAGAAGGAAAGAACAAGAAACCGGGCCTTCTCGGCAGTGGCCCCTTGGCTATGGATTAGCCTCCCAACTGAAATCCGTCTGGCTCCCTCGCTGGGTGTTTTCAAAAGCCATTTAAAAACCTGGCTCTTTAAGCAGACCTTCCCTCCAGTCAATTATTGTTATGTTTTATCTATGTAAGCCACCCCGAGTAGACTTTGTCTGGGGGGGGGGCGGTATAAATTCAATAAAAGTGAAGGGAAAAAAAGTAAAAAAGGGGGGTGGCCCTGAGGCTACCCTGGGAGTCACCGCCCCTACAGAGCCCGAGGAAGGAAAGGCTCTGGTGGAGAACTGGGAAAGCTTGCACGTCTTTTGTTATGTCGGCGATCCTGATAAAGCTGGATTCTGGAAGTGCTTGCTTTTGCTTTGTGCCAGTGAGTAGAGGGGGCGTTTCGAAGAATACCAAGCGTGGAGAAATTATGAGCACTTCCAACTTAGTTGGGGAGTGATTGGTGTGGAAGCGCTATCAATGTGCAAACTCCCTCTTGGTATTTTATTTGGGGTCCTGCTCGGGCAAGCGACTTCCCCAGTCATAGAGCAGCCACCCAAGGAGAAACTCTTTCAGTGGGGTCAGAGGGGTCTCCGTAGGAGAAGCGGGGTCTCTGGAGAGGTGCGGGCAACACCCTGCTGCGGCTCTCTTCCGCTCGGTGGGGGCTCTGCTGAGTGGGTCCCACACAAGCTCCCCAAACAGCCCAGACCTAAAAAGAAAGGCTGGTTCTTGGAAGCCAACAGAGGCAGGATGGGAGGTGTTGCACACACACCCATCAGGAATGGGGTTTGGCACCACTTGGTCTGCCTTCAGTGTGAGGAGCCTGTGTAGGACATGAGTACAAGATAGTTTTCAGACCCTCACAGATGCCGGCTTCCCCGTTTAGCTGTCCCTCCCAGTGTGAGCGGTCCCAGTGTGAGCGATGGAGGAGGTGGTGCAAGCCCTGCCAGGGCTCTGTGTTCAGGCATTGTGCAAAATGATGCATTATGACACCCTGAACCCCCTCTCGTGTGACAAGGGCCGAGGAAGAGAAGACACGCAGGCTGTGCCACGGCAAGGAAAGAAGCTGCCTTGGCACAACACGAGCGGCTAGCGTTTGGGGCAACTGGCAATTCCTGTGAAGCAGAGCCTGAAAGAGCCCCAGTCAACCAAAGACGACCCCTCTGTCTTGAGCGATGGTGCTCCTTCCAAGTTTTCATTGGAGGAAGAACACAGCGCAGGCAATGAACGCACGGACGAAGCCTAGGGCCACCCCTGAAGGTCACCACCGGGGAGCAGGGCTGGTGGAGAGGCAGGGCAGAGGGCACTCCCCCTCAAGAGACTGGGCTTTGTGGTGGGAACCTCCCTGGCCATGGCCGGAGATGGAGCCTGGGCTGCCAGGAGCGCAAAACTGCTGGGGAACAGATTCCAAGGCCCCAACATACGTTCCCCCAGCAGCTCCCACACAGGGCAATAATACATCCACACAGAACCCAAGAACTGGGCTTCTTTCAGCAGGTGTGAGATGCCGGAAAGCAGAGTTTTTCCAAATGAACAAATCAGGCTAACAAGACATGTGAAGGGGTATTACACTGTCCGAAAAGGTGTGGTCTTATATTTATGCAACCATCCTAGTGTGAACGGATTTATTTATTTACTGTAAAGAGTAATAATCTGCATCCTAAGTTTTGATTTCCCTTACAGCTAAGAAAGAAAGAAAGAAAGAAAGAAAGAAAGAAAGAAAGAAAGAAAGAAAGAAAGAAAGAAAGAAAGAAAGAAAGAAAGAAAGAAAAGAAAGACATGGCTGTACCTTTTCAGTTGGTGCTTCCCCTACAAAACTGAGGACAGGAGGCTGTTGCTTTTCTCAAGCTGCTGGTTGCTGCACAAACACAGATGGCATGCTCAGGTGCCAACCATTCCAGGTCCTCGGCCTGCCCTGTCCATCAACAGGACCACACAGTTAAACTACAGCCCCTGTGTATCACAGCTGTGAAATTGCTGCTAGGGAGCTGAACAGCTGTCATGCAGCAGCAGGAGGATGTGGCGAAGAGGGCAACTTGATACGCGTACAAGGTAGTCACACAAGCCAATGGGCCATGGGCAAGGGACAGCCGCCACCTATCTGCCACCTGTAGGCTTAGGGGCATCCCCGGGCAAAGGTCTTCCGCCGGTTCCATCTCTGCTTTATCCAAAGGACCCATCAGCCGGTTGGCAGGCCTTTCCTGCTCCATTTCGGAGATGCTGCCTGCTGCCTAGATTGAGCTTCTGGAACCAATGGGATCTCAGAGGCAATGCCCGTTTGCACTGGGATCAGGTCCATCCTTTCTTTGCCTGGGGGAGACAGCCAGGCCTTTGCTTCAACTCTTGGCGGAGAAAGCACAAGTTTGGTGCCAGGGCAGGGCACTGCAAGGTGGGAGGGGCAGCCACGGGCTTCCAACCAACACCCAGGGGAACAGCAGTTGCTCCTTTAGCTGGATTGCAGGAACACACCATGCGGTGAAACTCAGGGTCCCCTGCAGAGCAGACCCATGGGGTCAATGGGGTTTTTATCCATGTTTTGAGTCACCATTTAACCCTTGATTCCGTGGGTCTGCTGTGGACCCATCTAGGAACCGCTCAGTGACTGGGTGAGGTGCTCCGTCTAACTGTGGACCCAAAAGGTAAACCCAGGTTGAGGCTTCTGCCAGTGCACCCGTGTAGAGCAGAGAGGTGAGCTTTCCCCAAGCGAGTCCTGTTGCTTTTTCAACTCTTGGATGATCATCACACACCTTCTTCGATGGCCGCGCTTGCCCTCTCTGACTTTCTAACTGGAAGAGGGGACTAGGGAAACAATAAAACCCAACCCCCGTTTTCAATATTAACAGAAATAGACCGGCTAGAAATATTACAGTTTATTTAACTTGTTAAGTAGAATATGAATTTTTAGCTAGTAGTACCAGAGAGTGGACTGTTTTGTTTTTAAACGGCTTGGTGCTTAATGAACACAGCATTTACAAAGGATTTTAAAGAGATTCATACAGGAGGGCCAAGCCCCAGGAAGCAAATAAAAAGCACATGTTTTAAACAAAGGTTATACAAAAAATTTTGATGCATACTCCATATTCCCTTTTTTTAAAATGGATCATGTTAGAAAGTGCAGATTTGAAAAAGTAGCCGTATCTATTTACAAGACTCATCAAGAACACACCAATCAGTGAGGAACAAAACTGGGGCGATTTGTCCCCTCCAGTCCCTGGGGGGCTTTTTTTGCCTTTGCTTTTGCAGCCCCTCAGCCGGGAAGAGGAGGAAAAAAGCCCAGGGAGAGGGAGAGAGAAACAGAGACAAGAGAAAGGAGAGCGGATCCCTGCTATGCAGATGGCACCAGATCAAGGCGAGGCTTCCGAACACTTCCATTTCATTAAAACCAAAGTCATCATCTCCAGCTGGTTTAATCAGGAGAGGAACTTTCCTAAGAACAAGTGCCAGAAGCGTCCGTCCGCCAGACCATATCTGTGGGAGGTTAACACGGTGGGGAGGAGGGGGTTGGGGCGGGGAGCAAGGACATGAGTTTGCCAATAGCCTGTTGCTGCTTTGGTGCCCCAAGAGCACAGCCAGGCAGGGAAAAGGCGGCTGGGACACCCAGTTCAGCACAGGCTTCCAGGGAAACTGGCCCTCGCACGGCCGGCCCTGGTCTCAGCCCTTGGAGAAGGGGAAAAGGAACCCCCCCCTCCTTTTTGATCCCAGCACAGGCACCTCCTGGGAGCAGAAAGAAGAGGCAAGGCAACGGATGGATGAACAGGGGGTGGGGGGAGCCCCCACACTCACCCCCACAGGGGCCCAAGAGCACAGTGTGCCCCTCCCGGCTCCTGCAAAACCCTTCAGACGCCCATCTTTGGTTACTCTTCTTCAGGAACAATGGAAAGAAGTTACAATCGCCCAGGGTTGTAAACATGGGATTTTTTATTGTGAAGAACTTAAGAACACAGAAGGAGAGCGATCTATGGGTATGCTCATTCAACTCACCTGCCCTCTTGTACCCCCCCGCCAACCCTGCCCTGCCCCCACCCCCTCTTAAATATTTACTAGGCTACTTCGTCACCTGCCTGGAGCAGCAAAGGAAACCCAATTCCCATTAATGGCCACAGATCTGGGAACGGCCTGGCTGAGTCCTACAGAAGGAGAGAGGGCAGCCACTGCCTCCTCCACAGAAAACAAGTGCATGCAATTAATTCTTCCATATCATAAACCCCAATAACTATGCAGGAAGGGAGGAGGGGTGGGGAGGAACAGGCCTGACGTTTGCTAGACATAAAGGTTAGTAGATAAGATACTTTACGTTTTATCTCAGAAAGCTAGATCCGTGATCAGTGCTTTGAATTAAATTTGGCAAACATACTGTGTTGCCACCTCTTAACACATCACACCATAAAAAGAAATTAAAACCAGCATGCAGGCAAAATACCAAAACAAAAACAGTAAGAGAGGGGGAAACTGCTAGAGAGAATTAAAACAGAAGAGGCAGCGGGACAGCCTCCATGCCCTCCTGCCCAAAAAGGAGAAACCAAGCAGGCTGGAATATCTTGCTCTAACCCCCATGGCCCTTGATTCACTACATCGATGGCTGGAAAGCCATCTCCAGAGAACTGAGTCTCCGGTCTTGCTTCCACCAGAACAGAAAGAAAGAAAGAAAAAAGGGGTGGGGGTGGGACAGGTGGGGGAAGAACCAAAGTTCCTTTCCACATAAGGCACAGGACAAAATAAACCCCATTTACTACTCAAGGCGAATGAGTTATTATTGTTTTTTTTTCTTTTTGTTTTTTTGCAGATGCAAATATGGTGACTTAAGCACAGGTATCCATTAACAAAACCCCACCATCGTACAAAATAAACGGTTAACGCTAAGTTTTATTCTTGTACAATTTGCCGAAAGGGAGCTGAAATGATTGATCTACGGTCTACTGTTAAGACTGACTGGGCTATAGATTACAACCAGAAGACGGTGTTGAGTTGAGCCGGGACGTTAAAAATAAAAGTCAGACATGATTTTAATACAGTTTCGTTTCAACAAAATTATAGTCAGTGAGCTCTCCCCTAACAGAAGAACGAAGGAAAGGAGCCATGTTAAGAGGAGGACCAAAAATATTTAAGGTTAAAAATGGGCCAAGTGGTTTAAATTCCGCAGCAAGAAGAGGGAGGGGGCGATGGATGGCGCTTGGCGAGGGAAGCCCATTCCTTCAGCAGCACTTGCTCTTCCAGCCCGTCACGCCGCCTCCACTGCTGATGTCTACGTTTTCGCTGTTGGGCTCTTTGACCGGGGTCTGCAACAAAGAAGCCACGCCAGAGAGGTCAGGCCAGGTCCCGCAAGGAGCTTTTCGGCGCCTACCCAAACCAAAGAACCAGGGGATTGCCAGCCCGATTTCCCTGCTGGGCCTTCGCTGGGACAAAGAGCCAGCCTCTGCAGACTTGGGCCAGGCACTCAGGGGACCCAGAACGCGACCAGAAGGAAGGACAGGTAAACCCCTTCCCGAAGGGCTATACACTCTACCTATTGGGAATCGGTTTTATAGCACGTTATTTTTACAAACCCAGGCCACAGCAAGTGGAAGAAAGCAGTTAATGACAAGGGTGCCACATGTGCAAGACCCGACTCAGGAGATGGGGCGTGGCCAAACCCCATAAGCCCGTTCCAATTTCTGTGCAGCTTCACCCTCGTAACGACTTTGCAAGGCAGTCTATTTTTAACTATGGGATGGAAGCCGACATCGCGCCCTGGGGCAAGCTGGAGGTGGAGCACCAGCTTCTGTGCACAGGAAGACAAAGAGTCTTGGGTTCGAACGAAACTGTTCCCGGCCCACCCCGCTCTGCTGAGTAATTCGGTCTGCAGTTACCTTTCGAAGAATGTCTTCTGCTAACGTGAGGAATGCCTTCTCAATGTTTATATTTGCTTTTGCACTAGTTTCGAAAAACCTAATACCATGCTCTCTTGCAATCTAAGCCAAAAAGAGAAAGTCAGTTAGTTTGGAAAGCGTCTCCTACCCATTGTTCCGCCTCAGCCAAGAGGCCAAAATAAGTTGCCCTGGGACACATTGCACAATAACAAACATATCACTTAAGCACATAAAGTTGTAGGGTAGCACAGAAATGATGCCCAAACTTTACATGCAATGAAACAATTCAACAGAGCATATAACAATTTTGAAAACATTCCAATAAATAGCACTCTTCAACAAACAATAAAAAGACATTTCTAGGTAAACCCCCAATACTTGACAGAGTAAGAATCTGTCCAAAACACAAAAGGGATGGCAAAGGACAAGGTCAGTCTCCTGCCGGTCTGCTTTCCACAACTTTGGAGCCACAGAAGTTCTGCTCCTGTCAGATGCCGATTTCCATTCCTTATCAGCTGGTTTTGAATTCCGGGAGGGTGGTCAGTCAGAAGGACGACTTGGTGGGCAAAGTCTCAGGGTGGCAGAGCAGCCTCCCCCAATCTGTCTCCAGAGATGCTGAAGGGCAACCCACCCACCAGGCCACCTCCAGGTAAGATCACCGCTGGCTGTTGGCAGCTGGGGTGAAGGGGAAGATAGGCGCCTAAACGTGTCGGGGTGGGTCAGGTGGAGGCAGAGTTTTAGAGGCTCAGCCCTGCATTTTCAGTTTGTCTACGAGGATGATTCCCAGCCTGCTAGGCTGAAGATGGGCCTGAAGGCAGCCTACGATGGTCTCCCCTCTGGAAAGAAGGGAAGGCTCCTCTCAGAGAGGAGTGAGGCTGAGTTTCTCATTTCCACTGACATCAAGGAGGATTAAAAATAAGAGGAGGTCACTTTCATGAAGGCCGCACAGCTCGTCCCCTCGCTTGTGTCTGCCCATTATCTCCAGTCTTCTACCCGAGGAGCCCAACCCATAGCAGCACCCACCAAGCCCTCCTCCAGGGGATTCAAGCGTCCTCCGAAGGCTTCCTAGAGGGAGCCGTTCCCCTCCCTCCGGTTCAGATCCCTCCTGCTACGAGGACAGACCTTGCTGAGCGACCACTCACCTGCTCGCCTTTTGTTTTAGGGACCACCCTCTTGTCATCCATATCGCACTTGTTTCCTAGAAGCATCCTCTCCACGTCTTCATTGGCATGCTAGAGGACAACCAAAAAAGCAGGAGCTTACGTTTCTCAATTGCACACAGTGGCTTTGGAAGGCAGGTCTTGCATGCATTAAACGGGGGCAGCGCTTTGGAGACGGGGGGACTCGGAACCAGGCCTTCCACCAGAGGCTACCAAGGCCGATGCTGTAAGTAACAAGAGGTTTGCTCCTTTCGGGAAAAGGAGGGCCTGATTCCGATGCCAAATGGACCGAGGGACGTCTTTTCTAAAAAGCTTTTAGTGCCTTAAGATCTCCTGTCTTTGCCACGAGAGTCAGCAGCCCAGAGGTCCATTTCCTGTCTCACAGCACACACCATTTCGGGTTACCTGCCTTGACAGAGGAAAAGGAATGGAAATTAATTCAAGCCTTCCCAACATTCTTCAGAACTCAGCTCTGCTGAAGTGGAACAGAAAAGCAGTTGCGGGAAGTTTCCTCCATGTCAGTCTTTTGCATTCTGCAATGCAGCGCTCTAAAGCTTGCTCAGCCACCACAAAGGCATCTGAACTGTATTTCGGTCCCTTCCATGACTGGGCTCCGAATAAATACACTTCTCCCACTGGATGACACCACCACCTACCCAGGCACAGCCACTGGAGGTTGGCCTCCCCCTTTGTAGCACCATCAGGCTTAGAGCTAGATGTGCACAGAGGCAAAGAAGGCGCTGATGGACCCAGCTATTTGGCCAAGGAGCAGACCTTTCGGTGCCACCTCTTCCTCGGCTGTAGCGTGAGATGGTCTCGAGTAGCAGGATTCGCCGAGTCTCAGCCTCTGAAGGGCCCAACGAGTATCAACACAACATCAGCCGTCTTGATCTGAAACCTGACTCACAGGGCAGCTCCACAGCAGGGCAGAACCCAGACAGCCACATAAAACTGCCACACAAGGAGAATCTGTGCGGAACTAAGGGATCCCCTTCCACAAAATACAGATGGCAGAACAAGTCCAAGCCTTAGTTTTCTACAACCAAGCCTTTGACAACTCCTGATGCGAGTGAGTGAGCGAACTGCGAACAGATGCGCCTTATGCGCTGCAACCCACAAGCAGGGAAAGCTGCATCTGCTCCTCTCAGGAGAGCAGCCCATGCCCACGATGGGCTGTGGGGCTCCTGGGGCCGGAGGTTGGTTGCGCCTCCACAGAGGCACAGGAATCCTTTCTAGTTCTCCAGACTGGCTCAGGTACAGATCGTCCTCCTAGGAAGTTTCGGGCACCTTGCGTGAGTAAAATCTATGGCCTCCTTCCCACGGTGCTACAGTTTAGGGGGCCACAAAGTGTGTGCCACAGCACCTCTGTGACGCCCCACGGCACCACCAAACCCAGCTAGCGGCGCGGCGAACTCTTCATTCTGTTTCTTCGCCGAGCTGGTGTTGCTGCCGCTCTTCTGGCTCCCATTTGGGCTCCTTCATGTTTCTTTGCCTCCTGCTCCACCCTGCGCGAGTCTCCCTGACACGCATCGGGGATTCTAGGACCAAGAGGGTCCCCATCACACAGCATGGCAATACCCCCCCCCTTCCGAGGCCAAGCCATTCTGCTCCAGGGAGCACAAGGGCCCTCCCCCCTGCCCACCAGCCCCAGCCAGGCGCCATCCACTCACCTCATCTATGTTTCTGAGCCATTTGCTGATGTTTTCAAAGCTTTTGGCATTGGTGATGTCATACACTAGCATGATTCCCATGGCCCCTCTGTAGTAGGAGGTGGTGATGGTGTGAAAGCGCTCCTGCCCGGCCGTGTCCCTGTAAAGAGAAGCGGAGAAACATGCAGGAGTCTGGCAAAGCAGAACAGGGATATAACTTGTGCCGGGTGAGGAGGACGCCACATCACCAGAACTGGTCTTAAATGCTACAACTGATCCTATTCCCCTTGAGGATACTCTTTGGCAGCCTTCATGACTACCCCTGTCGTCAAACCCTGATAGAATGTCTAGATATCCCTAGGAGAGTCCTGTTCTTAATGACAGACCTCTTAAAAGAGCACTGGAGAACGGACAACAGCTCTTTAAATGAGAGACTTTGACCGCCATCCGAGAGATCTTGCATTGTTTTAATGTTGGATCGAAGCGCTTATTTCTGAATATCCTCCTGACTTCTTGTGATACAACAAACTGAATGTCCAGAAAGAATTCTTCTTTTTCCTAATATTTATTCAGCAGGCAAGCATATATAAATACTTGCCTAACAGGTGCCATCATGGTAAGCAGATTTCCCCCTTTAAATCAGGAAAGCTCCCCCAAAAAATGAAATGCTTCCTTCAGCTGGTAAACAGATTCAAGACGTTTGCCCCCCCCAGGTACAGATGTTTGTCAACACAGCTCTTGGGCTCCCTGATTTTTTGTTAGCCTCATGCCAATTCACAGGGCCCTTTCCTGAAGCGGTGAGGCAAATGTAAGTCCCCATTATGGCTCAGGGACCTTGAACTCTCAGATACAAAATGCCTACATGCAAGTCAGAGGTTTCTTGGGCATAAGGCGAGTTATTACACTCCTGATTCGTTCACTGAAGCCAGAGAAACCCAATACTGCACCCCATGGGTATTTTAGACTGCAAATCCTGTAAGCCCCAATCAAAAGGGTCAGGAGCTACAGTGCCTTCACCAGTCCTTCTCATGGGTAGGTAGGAGCCATGACTCACTTCCCACATCGGGGCCGTGACAGGCACACGTCAAACTGTTCCCCTGAACTGGTCATCGCCAGAATCTGCAGTCGTTCCACCGTATGAAATGGTCAACTTATCCACATGGTTAGCAGGAAATAACGTTAAGAGAATTTTTTCTAAAAATTGGAATGAATTAACTGAAGGATGGAACTTACATAGCCATCCATTTTGTATGCCAAAGAGAGGGGTGGGGGGAAGACGTCTTGTCCGGAGTGTAAACTAAAGCCGCCTAGAGTGGTCGTATAGACCAGATGGGCGGGGTATAAATCAAATAAATAAATAAACAAACAAAGGCCTCTACTTGCTGCATAAATGACTAAAAAAAACCCATACGTATCATCTGCATTTGAAGAAACATTATGCACCTTATATTTTCCCAGCATGCTGCACTTTACCAAATCTCTCTGCTGGAGGTGTACCTTTTGTCTCTTAACAGTTCCAGATGGAAACCATGCCAGCTCCACACTACCAAACTCAGTAGAATTTGTGGGCTGCGAAGGAAGCCCTTCCATTTCAGAGCCCTGGCCTCTTTATGGAGATGGTTACAGGAAAGCTAGCCTTGGTGGTCAAGGATAAGGCCTCTGCCCCGACGTCCAGCTCCTTGGAGGAGGAGAGGGCTTGCCCGTAACACGCCAGCCCTGCCATGGTTGTTGCATGGGCTCCTCTCTCTGTCAGGAGCGCCCAGGGTGGTCGACCATGGCCCACTGGTCAAACGGACACTCAGAATACTGTGTCTGTCCACCCCAGGAGGTGTTGTTTAATGTGCCTATGGCTCAAGGCAGCACCAGGGAATCACAACGCTCTCTCCCATGTTCAGGAAAAGAGAAGAGCCTCCTTCCCTAGACATGCATCTCTCACAAGCCCCCAGCCTGAAAGAGGCCTCCAGCAAGGGCAAGGGAGCCTCTCTACTGGAGGAGGAGGAGGGCCTTTGGATGGGCCTGCTGGCAAGCCTCGATGGTTCCCAACAACCACGTTCTTGTGCTGCAGACCAGGGCGTGCCTTCTGCTCCTGCGGTTCCCCAAACCTCTGGGCTGCTCACACTCACAAAAGGACAACATCACACTCTTGTCGGGAGGTTTGTAACTACTGTCGGGCCATCCGCTCTGCAGGCTTGCAAACGGAAGATCCCCAAATGTCGCAACTTTGCCTCTGAAAGCTGCTGGATCACGTGGCTGTTCCTTTCCTCACTCTTCCGGGGGGGGGGGCAATATCCTTTCTTTTGGTGAGGTGGCGGGAACAATATGCAGCTGTCCAAGTACAGTCGCACCGCAGGTCTGGTCCATGGGCCACATGAAACCGACAGGTTCACCTCCCATTTCTTTCCCGATGATTCCCCAACACGGAATTTGCCTTCTTCCCAGCAGCCACACACACAGGGCAGCTATTGGCACACAGCCGATCACAACAATCCCAGATGGGTGGTTAGTCCCTGGATCAATGTAATGACAGTTCAGGCCACACCAACGGATGTCTGAAGGTAAGATTCTGTGCCTCAACATGCATTGATTTAGGCTTACTTACAGCAAACAAGGTTGCTGGCATTTCTTCAACGGGAGGTTACAGGTTTCTTTAGCCCCTCACCGGACTCGGCAACGGAAGCAGAAAAGTCAAAGCCCACAGACAAGCACCTGGATCCCTTTTTGCTAAGGGGCATCTGCCACAGAAATGCTGCAAGGCTTCAAAGATCACACTCACAACAAACCCCCTGCAGGCTAGTGTTCCCAAGGGTGCTACTACCCCATGCCACAGCACTGATCCACTGCTTCTCAAGGGGAGCAGAGGAGCACAAGCTGGATTTGGGCTAGAGAGCCCCTGGAATGGACATCCAGCGGGAGTCCCTCCTTCCCTTCGCCCAATCCACCGCTCTCAGGAGCTGCCCTGCTTTCTCCTTGGGCCAAGCGGCTAGGGAAAGAACGGAGCTTGTTCTTTCTGCTGCAACAGATTAAGAGTCTCATGGCATCTTAAAGCCTGAACACAATCTGAAGGACTAGAACCCCTGCCCTCAAATGCATGACCTTGTATTCTCGGTTCACAGGATCACAGGGCTGAGGAGTCTGAGGGGATCCCAGGGGTCATCCACTCCAACCCCCCTTGCAGCTGACATATTTATACAGGGGGTGAAGGCAGAAATGTACACATAGAGGTCAAAGAATAGTGAAATGGAGAAAAAAAGACCATGCAGCCTGACTGTTGGACTGGGCCTTTTGCAACTCCCTGTCCTTGGACTTCCTGTTAATGAGAAGATCTTTTGGAGGCCATTCATTCCTTTAGTTACCCTAAGTTGGAAGTGACCAGGCAGCACCAAACAGAGACTTCTGCCTGCAGGGAGGAAAGGGCGCCCTGCTGACAACATGCCCTACCTTAGCACCAACCTGAAGGTTCCCCTGGCCCAACACACAAAGTATTTCTGCTCCTGGATGTGTGATCCCACAAATGCTTTGACCTATCTGTTTCTGACTTTGAGGCAGCCCTTTCCCCCCCCCCCTTCTCCGGTAGCTTCTGTTAGATGGGTTACTGCTATAAGCAGCCATTTGCAACTACTGCCAGCAGACATACCGAGGCTCCTTCTCCACAAAGAGAACCGGACCTCCCCAAGGCCTAGAGTAAGTGGGGAGAGCCCTCCCAGATAACGAGCTTGGTCTTACGACAGACAAGGCTCTTTGGAGGTTTATGATTTATACAAGAGAGGTTAAAAGATGTGGGGAATGGTAGTAGCGAAAGAGCAGGCAGCCTATAGCTGAAATGCATTGAAAGCTTGGGATCTACCACTGAAAATCTGAAGGCTTTTTTATATTTATACCACCAAGATCATGTAACAGCCAGAATGCATGGCTATGCCTTGAAATTTGAAGCAGTCCTTCAAACACTGAACAGGATTGTTATCTTCAGCAATGAAAACTTCCTTCATCATCTCTGGCTCATGGAATTTCACCAGCAATGCGGTGACCGTCTCATCAAACTGGTCTTTCTAGCCAATTGAGAACTCAGGCCCTCGGCCACTCCTCGCTATTGTGCAGTGCTCAACCCCCCCCTCCACCCAATTTTTTTTAATTTCTTCTGTTTTCATCAACAGGTTAGGGGAAAAGACTTTTTCTACCACGACTCCCGACATTTCTGGGAGCAAGTCTTCCAACAGGAAGGTCCCACGGGTGTCATCTCCCTCCTGGAACTCTTCCCCCATCAGCGGGCCCTATCCAGGCTGCAATGTTCGCCCACCCCACTTAAAACAAAGCAGCATTAAACACAAAGAAAGCAAACAGTACCATTTAGGTGGGCATATCTACGTTTAGTGCAGCAGGGAAGCAAACACACATTTATACTTAGAGCAGCCAAACATTAATTAAAAAGGCACGAAGGCAGCCCTTGCCAGCATCCTTCTCCTCTCTGGTCCTCTTTAAACTACACGGGTGTTGGTAACTCTTTGGTTTCTGAAATTGTGGGCTGCTTTGCTAACCTTGCCAGCCACAGAACAGTTATAAGGAGCATCATGTGGGGCAAGACCAAGCTCTGACTCCCTGGAATATGTATCTCCCAGTAAAAACTCCAGCCCTCCTGCAAATTATACCAGCAGCACTTCTAGGAAGCAACTACAGCCTTTAAAAAAAAGCCATGAATTTCCATTGCAGCCTACACTTTGCAATTAAGAATGGAAGATGAAATGCTGGACTGAGGAAAAGAAGGAAGAAGCACAGAGTAATATTCAGTAGGTGGGGGCTGCATCCTCCTCCTACTGGGATCAAGGTGAGGGCCCTTTAAGGATGACCTTGATAACATTAAAAATGCAACATGGAAGAACACTGATGTGGTCATAATGAGATCAAGTAATAATAAGATGTGCCTGGATGTTAAGATTAAAAATAACCATTTGCCCAGCATGTTAAACAAGTAGCAGGACAAGATGATCGTTTCTAGAGTAACGTTTGAATTGCTATGCAGAAGGCAGACCCATGTCAGCTTATGGAAGGCTGCTCTGTCCTGGATACACTTATGGCCTGACTCTGCACAACGCAACTCCCTGTATTCTTAGGTCCACTGATGTCTACCATGGCAACACCCTGAAACTCAAGACTTTACAGGGGAATGCGTTCATGGGTGCCCACTTCATCCCCAGCGGAATTCATTTTGAGAGATGGGATCTATGGAATCATGGCAAAATCCACCTTGAAGCACAACAGCCATGACTCCATTTATGGGGAATGCAATCAAAACAGTTTCACTGTAAATATTAAAAATCTTTACTCAAGAGAAAGGTTTTCTATGAATTGTTCTTTGCCTTGTCTTGTTAAAAGCTTAGAAGCAAACAAAGCACAACTATCAACAACCAGCATCAGCTGGAGCAGGGGATGGCCATTATCAGGATCAGGGCAAACAGGGAATGGAAATGCCCACATTTCTTTCCAGTACAATTAGCAGTTGCATTCCCTTTATGACTCCAAGGCTAGAAAGGGTTAAAGCCCTGCGCCAACCCTTCCTGATTAGCAAGCTAAGGAGATGTAGGCTGGATAGAACAACTGTCTGCTGGATACACAGCTGGTTACAAAACCGTACTCTGAGAGTGCTTATCTAGGGCTTCTTCTCAAACTGAGAGGAGGTAACAACTGGATCGCCACAAGTCTCGGTCCTGGGCCCAGTGCTCTTCAACATTTTTATTTATTAATGACTTGGGTGAGGGGGAACGCTTATCAAATCAGCAGATGAGACAAAATTGGGTGGAACAACTAATACCCTGGAAGACAGAAACAAAATTCAAAATGATCTGGATAGGCTGGAGCCAGATAAAACAAGGAAGTTTTTCCATGAGGTGCCAAGTTGAAAGCCTTCTAGTGACAGAAATAAAGTTACCTGGACTACAGCCCACCTGTTAAATGTTTTTTTCCCAGATGCACAGAATCCCTTTGGCCCTAAAAAGGCTCCCTGCATGGCAACGTGCGCAGCAGCAACTGCAGGGGCTGGTGACACCCTTGAGAGGGAGGGCCATGACTGCTGAAGATGAACGCTTGAGCTTTTGCAGCAGCAGTCTCTGAGCAGACTCTATTAGGTCTAGTTACGTATAGATCCCAATGAGAGTCGAGTGGTATAAATAGTCTCTTTCTTCCTCCACCCCTCTCCCCACTTTTATCCATCAGGCTGAGAGACAGGGCCTGGCCAATGAAGAATCTTGCAAGCCATTGTCGTACCAACCTCCTTTGCCAACTGCTTTGAAAGCAAAACTGCTTGCAGATATCTGATCAATACAATTAGAATTAACAGAACCCCCAGCTTCTACTTCCTTTAGAGATCAGACACAACAGCTCTCTTATTAAGCATCACAGAGTGATTTTACACTACAATGTTAAGACTATTTGCTATAAAACCTAATTCCAAGAAAATGGAAAGTCAGCATGCATCTTTACAACCATGTAATTTCCCCAGAAAGCTCATTTGCTGAGAATACATGCTATGCCCACTGTTTGGAGCATAAATCTAGACACATCAAATGCCATTTAACTTTCTTCAGACTAACTTGGTTTCACTTTAGTTGTACAACCCAATGAGTACAGTGGGGTCTTGACTTGAGAACTTAATCCGTATTGGAAGGCAGTTCTCAAGTAAAAAAGTCTGTAAGTCAAGGGTCCACTGTAATACAGAAGAGCTTCCTTTAAGAGTCTTCTTTTGATCTAGGTCTCAAAATGAAAAAAGGAGACAGATCAAACAAAAGGGTCCACTTAAAGAAGGCAACAATTTTTATTTTATTTTATTTTTTTTGGAACAGAGAGGTAAATGTGAGAATGTGCACTCTTTTCTGACCCCATCTGGTGCAACCATTTCCCCTCTCAGGTAACACTACGGCTTTCATTTTTTCATAAGAAGGATGCCCTTGTCTGCAGTTCATGATCTGAGAATATGAAGCTGTAGTTGTAGAAGGAGTACCCATGTTAGTCTGTGCAAGCATTCTAGGTAAAAGGAAAATGGGGAAAAAAAGGAGGAAAATGTGGTGGCATCTTGAAGACTAACTTTTATATTTTTCAGTATGAGCTTTTGTGGACAAGTCCACCTCATCAGACATAAGATCACTTAGTCTTCAAGGTGCCACCATGTATTTGTCTTTTTTTTCTTTTTCTTTTGCCTTTTTATCTATAATGAAAATATTTTAAAATATTAAAAGAAAAATCCTAGATATTTACATTTTAAAAGATGAAGTTATCAGAACTGGCCACTAGAGGGAGCCAGCGACCATGCAATGTATAATGTTTGTGTGATAATATTTGACCGCAAAACAAATTCCCCACCCATACAGGGGTCCTGCTGTACTTCAATTGGTCAACATGTGCAAACTGAGCCAATCAGCAGTTGTGTGGTGACAGACTATGATGTCAGAAAATTTCCCAGCCAGATTTTGTTCAACGAACCCTTCTGCCCCCTTCCGAACGCAGCCACCCATGATTAAAGGATGACAAGGGAAGCATGGCTTCTTCCAAGGCATTCATAAAAGCACATGTCCTTGTTGTGGGTCAGCCTCCATGCTTCATGTTATGAAGCATCACTTACCATATCTGTAGCTTTATCTTCTTTCCTTGCAATTCCACTGTTTTGATCTTGAAGTCTATGCCTATAAGACACAAAATGAACAATTCTGAGAAGCACACTTATGACAAACCCAGAGTGCCACACGTCCCCCTGGGACAAAAATTGACATTTTGTCTGTGTACGTGCCGTAAAGCACTAGCCACCATCGCCAAAGCTGACTTAGAGTGCCACACGTCCCCCTGGGACAAAAACTGACATTTTGTCTGTGTAAGGCACTAGCCACCATCACCAAAGCTGACTCGGCAAGCTCCACTTTCAACCACCACAATGTCATGAACAGCAACTAACACGACACCATGCTATAGCATATATTCATCGGTCTCCTTAATTTATACTCCAACTTTTTCCCAACAAAGGAACCCAAAGCTGCCAACAAAGAATGTAAAAACCAGTGTTAGCACTCAAAAATCACTATAAAAGGCCAAACTTCAGTTGGTTACCTCAGTAAATCACCTTAGAGGAGGCCCACTGAATCAACTCCTCCATAAGGCCCACTGATTTAAATGGGCCTACTCAATCTGTGACTTGTTCACCAAATCCCCACTGATTTAGCGAGTCTACTCTGGTGAGACTTTCGATGATAAGCAACAGGACTTTGGCCCTATTTTTTTAAAAAAAACCAGTTACACATATTAAGAACTAAAAAGTACTGAATAAAAACCATCCACTGATTTAAATGGGCCTACTCAATCTGTGACTTGTTCACCAAATCCCCATTGATTTAGCGAGTCTACTCTGGTGAGACTTTCTATAAGCAACAAGACTTTGGCCCTATTTAAAAAAAAACAGTTACACATATTAAGCACTAAAAAGTACTGAATAAAAACCATTTGAATTTTTTAAAACACCTTTTTTTAAAAATAAAGGACTCAAACTCACCCCCTCCCATTAAAACTATTTTCTCAGCACCAATTTATTTATTAAAAGCCTGCCTCCAAATAGATATTTGCCTGCCAGAAGGACAGCAGGGAGGGGGCCATTCAGATGTCCCATGAAAGGAAGTTCCACAGGTAAGGCATAGCCGACAGGAAGGTCCTCTCTCGTTTCCATCAAGCGGGCAAAGATCATAAAACATGGAGAGGCTCATAGTGGGAGATAAAGTCCCTCAGACAGCCCGGACTCAAGCTGAAATGGACCCTTAGCCAGCCCCACTGCTGTTAATACGGGATTTTTATTTTCCCTGCAATCAGTTCTGGTCAGGAGCCCAGTTGGACCTGACTGAAATTTCCCAACCCTATGCAAAGGCAGTCGCGCATAAGCATGCATTACAGGACTCCAAAACTGAGAGGGGAACCCAATGTGGCACATGCTTCCATCCTTGCCATAAAGCAGTAAGATAGTCTCTGTGTGTATATATAATACATTTGTGTCTACATGTCTGCAAGCGGGTGGGTCTATATACAGACGCACCTCTATCACATATATTCAAGAAGCGATGCGACTCCAGACATTTCCAGGGCACCCACAAACATTTCAGGCTTTGAAAACTTGGGTTTCAGCAGGGAGACTTCTGCTTTCCCAAAGGAGACGAGGCCAGGGAGACTGCCACCTCGCCTAGCACCTCCTCTGCCTTCGCACGATGGACATGGGCCATCTTCTGGGTTAGCCCTCTGGGGCTGAGTGGGCCAGCACCTCTCTGGAGGTCTATTTCTAGAAGGGTTGGCTAGGAGAGTCTTGCCTTGCCCACTCTTTAGTGCCCGTCCTGCCAGATGAGAATTACGCCACAGGGCTCTTATTTTGTCCTAATGTCGGTCTACATAAAAGTCACTCAGGGAGGTCACGGGAAGATTTGCTTTCTTCTGTCACCGTCTTTCTACGGTTGTCTCTAGCTGCTGGTATCCCAGTTAACCTCAAAGAAGTTCAGAGCTCCCCCACCCCACCCCCCATGAAAACTCTCACATAGAGGAGTAGCCCATACTAGGCCAGCAGGCCAATGTCCCATTCCGATTGATTAGGCATGGAACTGAGGTTGCAGAAACAGCCGCAGCAATTCGGAGGCTCACCTGTTGAACCATCAGAAAATGTCCATTCAGTGTACTGTGAATCTGAAGGAGGACACGGCACTCCCCCAATGCCACAGGAACACGGTGAAACTGCCCGACATCCACCCGGCTCTGGACTCTTTCCACAAATTCCCACAAACTCTCCAGTGAATCTTCCTTAACACTCCCCCTTATACTTTTCACATTCATACAAAGCTGTGGTCCTTCTGCTCAAGGAAAAGACTACAACCCTCCAAGTGACTTTGGGCTTGCTGCATCCTATTTGGGTTTTTTTCCTATATCCTACCTACATTTTTCTCTATACAGTATTTAAAATTTACACACCATTCTTGAATTCTTTTTCTGACCTCTAAGCAGCTCTATAGAGTTTCAAAGCAAAGTTGGCAGAAGACAGAACTCTGGGAAACGTTTAATTCATGAATCCTCTTAGCTGCTAAAATTGCCACTGATATTATTGGCAAGTTTCACCAACCGGTTAGTTAGTTAGTCATTCATTCAACCAACCAACCAACCAACCGTGGATAAAAACCATTTAAAAAAAAAATTAGATTTGAAATTGAAATTATTTTCATATTTTTAATGCTAAAATTCAGTTTCTTAAATAACTATGTAGTGTTAGTTTTCATTTTAAATGGGACAGTTGAAATATCTCATTACAGAATGCTGTTATGTTCAAGGTAAGTAAAGTATTTAAGGAGCAATGTTAACAATTCTACACGCACACACACACACTTCCATGAGCAAGAGGGGATTCAGACCCAGGCCTGCTGAGTCATAGTCCATCATCACTCTATCCACTACCTCACACTTGGGCATCTCCATTATAGGATAGGTATTAAAATTCTAAATCTGTTTTGTGATATAACATAGCCACTTAATTGAAAATATGTTTTGTGAAATGGATCCTACAGTTCTCAGACTGAGCTCCCCATTTCATAGGGTTATAGATGCCTCTATATAGCTTATCTAGCTTATTATTTCTCTCCCTCTTCATATTCAGTCTATTAGCAGAACCCATCAGAAAAAAATATATATTAGTCAAACTGGCTCCAAAGATACAAACTGATTTGCAACAATACATGGAGGTGAGAATCCACAGACCTCATCTCTACCTTGTTTTCCAAATGTGACTGAAAAAATCCTTGGAGTTTCCCTCTCCCCCACGTATCAGACTACTGTGTTTCCCCCAATACAAGACAGGGTCTTATATTAATTTTTGCTCCAAAAAACACATTAGGGCTTATTTTCAGGGGATTTTTTTTTTCATGTACAACCTATTCAAATAGTCAGGTCATCTACTTCTGGTTGCTGCACAAGGGTGTATGGTGGGGTTTCACTTAACTAGGGCTTATTTTGGGGGTAGGGCTTACCCTTACCGTATATTACGAGCCTCCTGAAAACTCATACTAGGGCTTATTTTCAAGTTAGGTTATTTTTGGGGAAACAGGTTAGAATATTGGAGATTCCTGGAAGCCTAGGACTGTGAAGGCAGCTTCCGTCAAGAGTCGGCAACCCTCACTGCTGTCACTCTGCAGCTTTATGAAAGCAAGTCCTCTCTCTCTCTCTCTCTCTGGCAGGGAACAGACTGGATTTCAATTGAAACACGTGATTTCCTACAAAAAAAAAAGAGTTCACTGTTGCTTGCTATAACCTTAGGAAGGACTTCCCAGAGTAACTCCACCTCCAGCAACCCCTCTGTTTATTGACAACTCCAGTGACACAGATTGGGTGTGTCAAGGAGTGTAATCTTCATGAAAGCAGAGTCAACTCAAACAAGGTGATTACGGAAAATGTGTACTAAGGTTACAGGAAGCACAAACGACACACTCTGGATGGTGGGGAGGAGGAGCTCATGAGTAAATGGAATTTCTCTGAGTAATAATTTAACCACTGTTTCAATCGTGATTTGAAATAGTTAATTTAAATCAAATTTACCATGCCAAAAAAAGCAAACCAACCAACCCAATGATGAATAATGTACACCTATCTTCACTACCAATTCATATTGACAAAGCCTAATGTATTTTATATGGACTGAAATCAGATTCAGTCCACTTTACAGTGGAAGCTATGTCCAAACAGGATTGCAAAGTACACACAAATTGGTTGAACATGTTTAAGGAACCTAAAAGGGATCATAATCCTGCCACAACCCAAATCTCAAATCACATGACAGGATCCCAAGTGTCAATTCTTTAAGTCATGAAACTGAATCACAGATATTAAATGACAATCAACAAACAGAAGAGTCATTTCAGGTACTTTCAACTGTCAAATCCAGAATATTTTTGAATCACAGAAGATTTATGCTTGAACTTATCACCAGTTATGGCCCCAACAGTATCCAAATGTTTCCCTTTTCCCCTCCAAATAACCACTGATTTTACATGGAAACTGAAGCTATGAAGCTTCTCAAGGTCTGGTGATACTATGAAGAAGCACAAAAAAATTGCACCCAGATCAGCATAGGAGCAACATAGCTGCAAAGTACCCAGACTGGTCTTAAATTTGAAGTATTAATGGATTTAATTATGATTTTGGACATTACGCTCGTATAGGAGGAGAGAAAAAAGAGCAACCAATGAACAGTGAGACATCTCAAGGGGGTGGGGGAACACTCATACTATTTGTTATACATATTTTATTTATACACCATCAGATCAGCATAGGAGCAACATAGCTGCAAAGTACCCAGACTGGTCTTAAATTTGAAGTATTAATGGATTTAATTATGATTTTGGACATTACGCTCGTATAGGAGGAGAGAAAAAAGAGCAACCAATGAACAGTGAGACATCTCAAGGGGGTGGGGGAACACTCATACTATTTGTTATACATATTTTATTTATACACCATCCATTAACCAATGGTTACTCTGGGTGGTTAACAACAATCACATAAAAAAAAACAAATTGCACGTTAAGATCATTAAATAAATTAAACAAATAGAAGCAAACTAATATCTTGCAGCAGAATACATCATGCGGAAGGCTGGACTGGAGGAATCCCAAACCGGAATTAAGATTGCTGGAAGAAATATCAACAATCTGCGATA